ACACACACACACACACTCTCACACATACGCAGCAATACCTGCTTAAGCCAACCTCTGCATGCACAAATCCCTACATACATGTGCATGTACATGCTCATATATATCTTTCATCTCACGACAGGATACACCTGCACTCGCAGTTTCACCGACTCGCCTCTCATCCCTTATCGTTGCCTTCCCTGAAGAGTGTTTATCCTCGTTTTGCCATGACTATAAAGGGAAGCTGACTGAACTAATTATTCACACAACACACACACCCTGTTAGAAGTTCTTATTCTTATATTATAGATAATATAATGAGTAGGAGAGGAAGATTAATCAAGCTCTAGAACTATGACACACTACAGCAAAACAGGAGAAACACAGGGAAAGGTGAGCAGGGAGTAAAGAGAGGGGAGTAATGACATGTCACTAGATTATCGGCCTCTCCTCCCCATTTCTTTGCTCCCTCTCCTCCCTTCACAGCTACTCCTGATTTAATGCCTAGCTCTGATCTCTACCGAATAAAAGAGAGGCAGGGGTACTGTGCGAGCGTCGTCAGTGACCCAGTGAGCACAACCCCCTCCTGCTCCTCCTAAACAGGCCAGGCCGTCCCCTTTAGAAAATATTCCTCTTTACGCTTCTGTTGTACTAAGGTTTGCCACTGCTGTCACGATGCTTCTTGCCGCTGCCACTGCCGCCGCTGTACAGGCTGGGATTTGCCACGAGGGGGTGGGGTGCTGCGCCCATGTAGGGCCCAGTGGCGGCTGCGTAGTTGAAGATGGCTGGAAGGAACGGCAGAGGCTCAACCTTGTCCCCCCCAGGTGCCATCATGTTCAGGGCCACAGGAAGAGCTGCTAAGTTATAGGGATAGGCCAGCAGCTGGGGCCCATAGAGCAGCTGGTAAGGGTCTGGATAAAATGGCAGCTTGGCCAGGTCCCCGCCATGAGGGACCATCACTTTTCCCAGTGGGCCAAAGGGAAGAGGTCCAGCAGGATAGGAGGACATGAGCAGATTTTCATCCTGCTTCTTACCAGAGCGGTAGCTGTCCGGCACAATTAGGGGTAGGGGATAATCCTGGGCAGGGTAGCCCACTGGGGTGGCGCCCCCCTGCTGGGAGTCTCTGGAAGAAACAGTGTCCTGGTGCTCGGGCTCAGGTGGCTGAGGGGCTCGGGGGAGAAGCAGAGCGTGGGCAGAGGGGCGGTCGCCGGCACCAGCTGCTCCAGTGGGCAGTGTGAGCCTGTCGAGTCCTTGTGAGCTGGAGTGAACCTGACGGTTGGCTTGAGATAACAGTCCAATGGTAGAGGGAGACCGACGCGGGGACTTGGGAGTGTGCCTGTGTGAGGAGGGTCCATTCATAGTGGTTTGAGTGGGGATGTGCTGGGGGGACTGCACAGGACTCAAGGGCTCCTCTTTAGGGACCAACAGAGCCATTTGGTCCTCTGGGGCATGAGTAACTCTGCTCATTTTCTGGGCCCTCTCTATCTCTTTTTCTCTCTCTCTCGCCTTTTCTTTCTCTCTCTCCCTTTCTCTCTGTCTCTCAAGCTCCCTCTCCGTCTCTCTTTGCCTCTCTACCTCCCTCTCTCTGGCTAGTATCGAGGACATGGTAAGGTCTTGTGCTTCATCGGGAGAGGGACTCCTGGACAGTGACTGAACTCTCAGATCTTGGACCAGAGGTGCTTCCTCATAACCTGCGTGTAGAAACACACCACTCCCACCCTGCCTCTCCCTGTCCATAATGACCCCATCCCGTTTCACGAATCCGCCCTCAGAGCTGGGAGCTGTTGTCATGGAAACAGGAGCAGCAGCGGTTATTCTGGTCTGTGACGTCATGGGCACATTTGGAGAGATGTTGGTGGGTGCCACGACGTGCACAGGGCTGGGTATTCTGTAGATCTGACTGTCTAGGTTCTTTTTGCTGGGGCTGCGGTAGTCCAGACATTCGGCTCCGTTCATGACGAGCACGCTCTGGAGAGCTGAGGGCGCGGTGGGTGTGAATTCATGTTTAGTGGGCGTGAAGTTAACTGGACTTTCTAATGGAGGGTCTGCTGTTTGTGGGCTGGGCTCTCTCTCTACAGCTGGATGGGCGAGCCCTTTTAGTTCAGGCCTGTCTCTGGATTCTGACCTTCGATGTTCAGCCGTCAGTTCACTGAGGTGGTCTTCACGCTGCTGCGATGCCAAACAGTCACTACTGATGGGCGGGTCTGGTGTTGAATAGCTGATAACTGAAACAGAGAGCGCACTGGGAACCTGTCCCTTGTCAGTCTCTACGTCTCTGCTAACGGTGTTAATAACCGTCTCTGTTGTTTTTGGCTCTGAGGCTTTATCATCCCTTTCTCTTTCTGGGGAGCTGCTTAACTCGTGGCGTCGGATGTGGCGAGTTAGTGCTGAAGATGTCTTACACACCTTGTGACACTGTGGACAGGTGTGTCGTGATAATGCTCGTCTGCTGAGGCGACTTGGACTAGAGTTTCTCCCTACTATTCCCACTTGCCCCCCCTTTTCTTCATCATACTTTGCAATCTCTGGCACAGATTTGATCCCGACCCCTTCAGCTTGCTCACCAAGTGCCACTTTAGGGGGTGCAGAGGGTGCGTCAGTGGGCTTAGGATGCTGGGCTCTCTGGTGGTCTTCCAACTTATCCCTTGAGGGGAAAGTGGCTCGGCAGAAGAGGCACACAAACTCCAGCAGATGGCTCAGCTCGTGTTTGTCTCGCTTCCTGGGGCTTGAGAACCAGCGGCCACATGTACCACACTCTGCTGCATTCCCGTTAGTCCAAGGCCTCCTCTTTATTCCCATAGGAGCCCCTGAGGTAGACGGAGGAGGCTTTGGAGAGTGCAGAAGAATGGAAGAAACCTTGTGACAGGCCTGTTGCTCTTCTGTGTCTTTGTTTTTATCCTTTAAAGGAGCAGAGAGACAGTCCCTCTTTTTCCCCTCTCCCTTAACTCTGTCAGGTTTTTGGGGCTCCTCATTAGTCCCATCCTCTTCCTCATCTTGTGATTTCTCTGTTTCTTTATTTAGACGGTTCTTGAGCCTCTCCGTCCTCCTCTTCAGCCGGATGGAGCGCTTGTATTTCAGTTTTCTCTGCCAGCTCTTCACCCTCTGCAAATGTGCTTGGGCCTTTCTTTTAGGCTTGTAGGAGTAGTAAGGCCTCCATAAATTATCCTCCATGTCGTGGTCACTCTCCTGCTCCCTCACCTCCCGACGGAAGTAGTACTCCCTCACTCCATCAGGGGATTTGGAGCTCTTTTTCCTCACCTCCTCCTCACAGTCTCCTTCCTTATCATCCTCCTCTTCCGTGCTGGCTCTGCGGTGCAGGCGGTGTTTATGGTGATGGTGGTGAAAGTGAGAGTGGCGTGGATCCTTGACGTCCCGTGCAGATGATGTTTCACTGCGTTTGGATTTGGGGGGAGAAAGGCTCTTGTCTCTCCTGAGGTCTGTCTCAGAGATGCTGCGCTTGACTATGGCTTCCTCACCGATGCGTACAGTGATCTGGCACAGTGGCCCCGCCTCTTTGACTTGTGACCCTACAGATGCTAGCAGCTGCTTTGAGTTAGAGGTGTCGCTCTTGCTGTGGGACTTGCGTGATTTGTGAAATAATCTACCTGCCTCTGCCTCCCGTCCACATCTTGAAGTTGAACCATTCTCTCTGCTATCTGAATTGTCTCTTGATCTCTTCCTATAGCTATCTGCACTATCCCTTTGCTTTTTAATTGGCCTGGGGCTGCCCTTGTGTGAAGTCTGACTGTTGCTGGTTTCAGGGGACGGGCTGCTTAGTGGGCTTTTTTCGCTTCCAGAAATAACCTGGTTGCTATGTACAATGACAGAGGATGACACGGCTGTTCCATGAACTATGACAGAGGGTTTTGTATGTCCGTATGTTATCACAGAAGGCATGCTAGTTTCTTTACATGTCTTGGGAGTTTTGGTTTTGTTGCTACTAGACATTTTAAAGGAGCCACTGCCTCTGCCCTGCTCTGACTCATGGGCCTCGCTCTCATGTTTTTTAACGTGGGGCATGTCCGTTTGGGGGAGGGGTGTTAGTCCAGAGACGTCTCTGCGTTCTGGAGCCACAGAAACAGGGAAGTCATCAGGGAAGGCATCTGGGTCAGGCTTAACACTCTGGGGGTGGGCTCCGCTGATGAGGCTCTGTAGGTCCCCAGAGCCCAGAGCACAGCCCAGACCGGGCAGGGAGAGGGGCGGTGTTTCAGTTGGTGGCAGAAGCAGGCCATTATGCAAACTGTCACTGTAAGTCTTGTACGGTCTCTTCTGAGAACGCATGGGGAGAAGGCGGTAGAGCTTGAGGGCATTAGCTTTCTGCTTATAGCCGCCATTAGCTGTCTTTTCACTGGAGATGAGGCTGGGGTTAATCCCGTGAATGGTTTTCTGGTGTGTTTTGAGATTGTAGTAGGTGGCGAAGGCGTCCCAGCAGAAGATGCACTGGTAACGTCGCTCTCCTGTGTGCCACACCTCATGCTTGGTGCGGTACTCAGCCAGGGCAAAGACTTTGTCGCAGTAATGGCAGGGATATTTGCGGCGCCATGAGTGCACATTAGAGTGACGCTTCAGGCTGGATAGGGTCATGTAGGATCGCTCACACACAGAGCAGAAGTAAATGACATTGCCATCTACCACCTTCACAAAATGGTGCTCATCACCCGCCAGTAACTCTGCGTCTGCTGCATCATCACCTTGGATACGCGCCAGGAGGCTCCGTGCTTTCTTTCCTGGCCGCGCCTTACTGATGTCTGATTCTCCCACAATCATTCCCCCCTCCACTCTCACCTCACCCTCCTCCAGCGGCTCCTCCTTTGGCTGCACAGTGAGAGGAGGAGGGCCCAGGCTGTTGGAGGGTAGGCCTGGCATCTTGCAGGAGGCCTCATGGGATTGCAGTCGTTTGCTGTGGATGAAGACTTTGCCACAGAAACGGCAACTGAGGGCACGGCTGCCACGATGCAGCCGCATGTGGACTGTGAGGGAGGAGGCCGAGCTGAAGAGACGGTGGCACACACCACAAATCAGCTCAGGCTTCAGGCTGTCGGTCGGAGAATAGGAGGACGAGTGAGGGGGGGCAGTTAGACCCTCAGATGGGGGAGGAGGAGGTGGTGGTAATGGGGGAGGGAGGTGGAGGGTGGGTGGATGAAGGCTTGGTCCATGAGGGCTTCCCAGTTTCCCAGCTGGTCTTCCTGTTATTTTGTCTCTCCTGTCTGCATCCCCACATCTCTGATAGGCTGATGCGCCCAGGCTGAAGAGGATCTGGGCAGTTTGAGAGGGCGACGCTGTACCGTTAGTGATCCTATGCCTCTCGTCCCATCCATCAACACCATAACAGGCCCCTAAAGACCCACTTGAGGATCTTGGGGGTGACCTCTGAAACTGAGTCTCTGGATTGAGTTTGGAGCATTTCAGAGGAGGCGGAGATTTTATGTCCTTCCTGATAAGTGCATGAACAGTCATGGGAGATGAGGAGGAGGAGGGCGAAGAGGACGGAGAGCTGTCCTGCCTTGGGGGCTTAAAAGGTCTGTGCTTTACATCCATGGTGGCATCCAATTTCCACAGCGACCCCTCATCCGAGCTCTTGGAGGACGGACGCCGTCGGTGGGGGGAAGGAGAGGATGAGGAGGAGCTGCGACAGTGGTTTGGAGATGTCAGAGAGGCTGGGAGGGGGGCGGCACTAAGTGGGAAGCTTAGGGTAATTTTTGCATTTTTAGGTCCATCAACCATGTCCTCCAGTCTGTCCTCCATCATGGCTTCTCCCCTGCCTCCATGCCTTTTACCCTTCATCTCTGACTGCTCAGTTTCCCCTTCCTCCTCCTCCTCCTCCTCCTCCTCAGACTGAGAGGCCTCCCCACGAGACCAGGCAGGCTTGTGTAGTCCTTCAATCTTTTTCAGGCTGTACAAATTGACAGGTGGGTGTAAGGGTGAAGACGCCTGAACTGCCTGAAGGGCGTCTAGAGCCACAAATGACAGTGGTGGGGAAGACCAAGGTATCAACCGCTGACTCTGGTGGCACGTGGCGTCCTTAGCTGCAGTTTGTGTTAGGGGAGTTAGCCCAGGCGCCAGGTGCTGTTCACTCAGAGGTGACTGGATAAGGCCCGCGTGGAGGGGGTCCCATACCTTTTCACTGGACACCATGACCAGCCCCCGAAATCTGAAAGAGAAATGAAATAGAATATATTAGCATCATAGACATCCTGTGGTAAATGCAAAACACCAAAATGTACATCAACATAAAGTAGAAATGAACAATACACCGAAAGCTTTTTCAGAAGCAGTCATGGCGCTCATGGAACACTTGAGAAAAGGCTAAGAAAACTAAATGCCCTCGCAATGCTGAACTTCGACAGCTCAGCCAGGAATGGTGAGTGTGAGGAGGGAGAGGGTAGGGGGAAGGAATGAATCTGCGGCAGTGCTGGTTTAGATTTCAGCGTGCCACAGCCAAGCCTTCAGAAAGGCATTCCAGAGATCCATCTCCGTCGGCTGTGACACAACATTCCCAATGCCTAATTGGAAGGCGCTCAGATTTAATCAAGATTCCCTCAGAATAGAGTGTTGACTTAGATTCATGGCCCAAACACGTAAAAATAGTCCTGCACTCTTGCTATTTGAGCAAGGGCTTTGTTAGCCATTCCTGGCAGTGGCTAGTGTTTGCCGGGCATGACTCTAACCACTTATTTGTGAAGGCAAAGGTGGGGGGGAAGCAGGGAAGAGGAGATGGGAGGGAGATTGCATGCATGTGCACCAACAGTTTTTCCGCCCTCTGCATCCGGTACAATCTCAGCTGAGCTGCAGAAGATGAGCGACAGGCTATTCTCATTTCCATTCTAATTCAACAGCGACTGTGGTGGAAGCAGCAATTTCTCCTCATATAAAGTACCCGCAGATTCACATGCAATAAGCAATTTGCTGTTATTACTTATTGACAAATGGTTTCATTTGTTTAGGTCTGCAGATTAGGTGGAAGAACAGAGACGGTGTGAGGCTGTAATGATGCGACGAGATGAAAAATCCTCAGTCATGCTTTTCTGCCTGCGTTTTCAAGCAGCAAAGCAGCCAGGAAGGCAGGCCGCTGTAAAATTCCACAGGCAGCCCTGAACAGGCAGAAACTAGGTCAGCACTGTTATTGCAGAGGGAAGAGGAGGGAGAAAGAGAGAGAGAGGGTGAGGATGAAGCAGAGTGAAAGGGTGATAGAAAAAGGGAGAGAGGGAGAAAGAGAGTGAGGGTTAGGGAGAGAGCAAGAGACAGAGAGAAGGAGAGAGGAAGAGGAGGGAGGGGGGGGGTCTCAAACAGGAACAGTCAGACACACTGCACTGGCAGACAGACGGGAGCCCAGGCAAACACACACACACACACACACACACACACACACACACACACACACACACACACACACACA